GTCAACCTACATGAGCTCATGACGTCAGTTTCAAATTCGAACTTCTGTAACATTATTTATCTTATTTGCAATGGTCCATGTGTTAGATTTTATGCGAACATTAGAGTTTTTGTAGGAGTAAAGTCTATATATATATATATATATTCTATTTGTATTAAAAATTTTATTTTCTATCATTACTAATGGATGAAGTTACCGATAAAAAAACTAGTAGAATTGTTTTAACTTGCATCGTACTTTCTTGTCCTTTGTAATTTTATTTTGTTTTATCATTTAATTCTATTCCATATTAATTTTGTTACATTTTTTTTCTCTTTGTATTAATTTTGGGTTTTGTGTTTAAGTTTTAGTTTTTAAATCACTTAATCTTTCTTTCTTATTTTTGTGTTTACATATATCTTTATTTTATGTGTTTACTCTACATTTTGTTCCCAGATTTTTTTGGTCTATATTGTTAATCAATTCCTCTTACATCCCAATCTTTTATTTTTATTTTTTTAATCAATTTAATTATATTCCCATCTTTTTTTGGCCTATTGTTAATCAATTATATTTTCAAAATCTGTTTCTATGTATGGCTATGATCTTATAATTTTTTTGGAAAGATACATAATTGCTTAAGGAAGATACAAAATTGCAACAGAATTAGGGAAGATACTGATTTCTTAAGAACAAAATTAAAATAAAAGAAAGAAAATTTGTAATTCTATTCCCATACTTTTGTTCGCTTATTTTTGTTAATGGATCTAAATCTTCCTCTCTTTGACCTATTTTTGTTAGAGAAGATACATAGTTGGAAGAAATTAGGGAGATATATAATTGCAATAAAATTTGGAAAGATTATAATTGCTTTCATATCCTAAAAATAGAATTAAAATAAATATTTCCTACAAATAGAATTAAAAATATTTCTTAAAATGTAGAATTAAAATAAACTAAAAGAAAATTTTTAATTCTATTCCCATATTTTTATTTGTCTATTTCTGTGAATCGTTTACTGAGTCTTACCCTATTTTTATTGGTCAATAGATTTTGTTTATTAGACTTAGCAAATAGACCTAAGTTATGATTTCCGTAAAAGCATAATTAAAATAAAATTTCTTAAAAAAGAATTAAAATATAAAATATTTTATTTTTTAAATTCTATTCCCATATTTTTATTGGACTATTTTTGTTAATCAATTCAGTTTTCTAAATCTTCCTCTCTTTCTTTATCTATGTATTTCTTATTTTTTTTTCTATTTTTATCTCTATATTTCATTTTTTTTATCTAAGAATATCTCACACATGATATGTGGGGTTATATTTAAAAATATAACTTTTTTACTCATCATCATTATTATTATTATTTTTTCTTTATTATTATTATTATTTTATTATTATTATTATTATTATTATTATTTATTATTTTTTTTTTTTGAGAAAAGTTGAAGTCTCACCGATTAACTTTCAAATTTATGTCCATAATTGTTAAATTATAAATGTTAATCAATGAGGTAAAAATTAAAATTATATGTTCATGGGTAAAGGAGATTTTGAAAATAAGGTAATAAGACTAAATTATTCTCTTTCATGCCCATTATTAGAGTCCCTCACCATTAAGTTGAATCATCTCATTAGATTGAAGATAGAAAATTAAAGACTTCATTGTAATACATCTTTAGAGAACCTAATTAGGAGATGTTGCTCGAATTGGGCCAGTTGCAATGCGCTGCCGAAACCCAATGGAGACTTTTCGGGAGATTTTGCTCAATTTGGTCCAATTGGGGCACGCCTCTTGGTGCCTAAACTTGAGGTAGGGCTTTCGGGAGATGTTGCTGGTTTTGGGTCATTTGGTACACGCCTCTTGATGCCTAAACTTGAGAGAGGGCTTTCAAAAGACGTTGCTGGTTTTGGGCTATTTGGAACAACCTCTTTGTGCCTAGACCCAATGGAAGCGGCCCCTGTTTCCTCGGGTGGAACTCCCGGTTGAGGAGTTACTCGGAATGCTGCCAAGATATCAGTATCTTTGGTTTGGGAGATGTTGCTAAATTTGGTCCTGTTGGGACACGCCTCTTGGTGCCTAAATTTTTTGAGAATGTGTATTATTCCTACAATTTTTTTGAGATTGGGGTGGATCCATACCATCTTCATAATCACTAAACATAAAAAAGAAAGAACAAAAAATGAATCTTTTAGGTTGTTTTTTGCTATTCATTTTTCCACTTTTCTCTCATCCATTTCTTGCCATTGCTGACTCATCAAGAGACCTAAAGCATTCACTTAGATCTCTATCCGCCTTCCTCTTCACTTCTCCACCCCCTCCAGCGGCGTTCCTTTTCACCTTTTCGCCACCTCCTGCGCAAAACTTCTTTAAATCTCTACCTTGGCGCCATTTCTCTTCCCCTCTCCGCCACCCCATGCGGCATTTCTCTTCCTCTCTCCGCCACCTCCTACGCAAAGGTTCTTTAAATCTCCACCTCTGACGGCGTTTCTTTTCCCTTCTCTGCCACCTCTTGCGCAAATCTTCTTTAAATCTCCACCTCCGGCTGCGTTTCTCTTCTCCTTTCCGCCACCCCCGACGGCATTTCTCTTCCCCTCTTCGCCACCTCCTACACAAAGCTTCTTTAAATCTCCACCCCCGGCAGCATTTTTCTTTTCCTCTCTGCCACCTCCGCCGCTACCAATGGAGTGATGTGAAGACTGTAGAAGATCAACCATGCCAAAGAAGATAAGCTGATTGTCGAGAGAGATGTTCTCAATAAGAGATGAACATTTTTAATTCAAGCCCTTTAATAATGTAACCGGAAATCTTTTATGATCACTATTTTTGTTTTGAAAATTACGTTTATCATTATATAAATACAACTTTATTTCACGTATAAAAAGTATTCATAAATTTTAAAAAATAATATTAATATTTATAATTTATTGAACATATAAGAGAACTTTTAATTTTTTTTTTTGTACAATTTCGATCAAATTAAAAGTTCAAAAATAAAACTAGAATTTTAAGTTCAAAATTCACTTTTATTTTATTTTATTGCAACACCTCCAACAACATAATGATCACTTATCCTGCAAGAAAAAGAAGGAAACAGAACAAAAGAACAGAAAGAAAAGAAAAGATAGTAAGATTTTCTATGAGAGAGAAAAAGGAAAATAGGACTTTATACAAGTTTGATCGGGAGAGAAGTTTATTAGATCTTTCATCCCTTTTACTCTATTTCAATTGTTTAGATTTTTACCATCATTTTAGAAAATCATGATCAACAATATTAAAATGGTAAAAAAAAACTATTAAAATTGGCTAAAGATAACTGGGAAGACCATTAAAAGCAGAGAAAAAAATGAAAAAAAAAATCATTAAAATTGTTGAAAGATAATTACAAAAACAAATTAAAAACAAAGAGAATAAAAAATGGAAGTCTTTTATTGTTGTAATGAAATTAACAATTTTTGTGTATACTGCCAAAACAACTTGCTTCTAAGAATGAGAATGATAGAGGATAAACCGTGGAAAAATAATTGAATGAATTTTGAAGTATCAGATGACTAGAAAGTAGATAGTACTCTGACATAAAATAAATTCATCAAATTCTTTTATATGACAGTAGCTTATATCTTTTAGAAAAATGGTTAACTCCGTCTATAAACTTGTTACATGAAAGTTCGAACTTGAAACTGATGTCATGAGCACACATAGGTTAACTTGGATTTCAAAAGACAGAATCAAAATTTCATTAACGATATATTCATGGCAACAACTTAAGTTAATCAGGTAAGTGGTCTTTCTATCGACTCGGTTGGAAGACTTATCTTATGTATGATGACACGTGTCCAGTGACCCTTGCACATGTCATTTATGCTTTATGTTATTTGATGATGTGATGACGTTATATGATGAAGTGATGACGTTAAATGATGATGTGGTGAAGTTATATGATGATGTACATGATGTTGACATGATGATGATGATGCATAATAATAAGATGATGCGATGCATGATGATGAAATGACTTAATATGACGATGTTCCACATTAAGATGTTGTGCATGCGTTAAATGTCACGATGCATTATGACGACAAGTTTTCAAAGACACAACCCTAGTTAATGTTAATGATGATGAATATATGAATGTGAATGCATGCATGTTACTTAGAATAATAAGTGAATGGTGTATAGGGTTGTGTCTTAAAGATGATTTAAAGATGAAAATTATAGGGACCTCGTGCATTTTGTGTGTTCATATATATCGGGATACTTCTACACTAATGATGATGAGTGGGGACGCGCATGGTATGATGATGAGGGTGTTCATGGGGAGCAATTGGCAATCAATGCTTGATTAACAATTGTCAATTGGTTGATTCTTTATCCTCTATTAACGCTTAATTAGCTATAGTGACTAATATTTTACAAAAGCTAGCGTTAAGACAAGGTTCCATGACTAAAGCACCCGTCCAAGCTACTATTGTAATGGCTCAAACAGCAGCTGGATCTTATGTATATTGTGGAGAAAAACACTGTTTTAATTAACATCCAAGTAATCTAACATCAATATTTTATGTGGAGATCAAGCTAATCAAGGCATTTAAAAAAATAATCACTTCTCAAAAGACATATAATTCAGGGTGGAAAAACTATCAAAACTTATCATGGAAGAGACAAGTCTCATACAATCAACAAATGTCACCTAAACAAAATTACCCTCTAGATTTTGGTCTATAAAATCAAATGGCATATGGTCCTCAACAAGCCAACACCCAAGGAAAAGAATACTCCGTAGGAAAGGTGAGACTAAGGAAAACAACAACAGTCACTCCCAAAAGGTGAGACTAAGGAAAACAACAACAGTCACTCCCAAGAAACAGCTATACATAGTAGAGAAAGGAGGAAATTGTTGTATAGAAAGAGTAGAGAAAAACTTATGCAGAAACTGCAGAACAGAAAGAGTAGAGAAAAAATTATGCAAGAATAGTGCAAAAATTATGCAGGAATAGTGCAGTCTCTTAAAACGCAAACAACATTCAACAGTAAATAAGAGAGCAGAATATACACATCACTATCTTCTTTTCCACAAAGAATGAAAAAGAATAAGGAAAAAGTCGGTTTCAAGAAGTTCATGGATATATTTAAGAAAATCACAAACCATTAGTGGAAGTCTTGAAATAAATGTTCAATTATGTCAAACTCTTAAAAAATATTCTCACCAATCCAAGAAAATTTGAAGAATTCAAGGTGGTAGAGTTGAATGAAGAGCGTAGTACAATATTGTACAAAAAGGTCCCACTAAAGGAGAAAGATCCCGACTCATTTACAATTACAATATCAACTAAAGAAAAGAAGTAAGGTCGAGCATTATGTGATTTGGGATCAAGCATTAATGTAATGTCGTTGTCTATTGACCAAAAGTTAGGTATTGGTGAAGATAGATCAACTAAAGTCACCCTCCAACTAGCAGACCTTCACTCATCTAGAAGGCAAAATCGAAGATATTCTAATTCTAGTGGACAAGTTCATATTTCCAGTAGATTTTATTATTTTGGATTATGAACCGAACCATGACTACCAATTATCTTGGAGAGAGCATTTTTGAAATCTGGGAGAACAATTGTAGATGTCCACAAGGGAACAATAATGTTGAAAATGGATGTTCAACAAATAGAATTTAATATCAATGACAACATAAAATATCCACGTAGAGGATCGATCAACAATTTATAAATTGACAGGGAATTTAGTAGCAAATAGTTGAAAACAGCAACAAGAAGAAGACAACCGTTGGAATAATTGCACTAAACAAACAACAAGCAGAATTGGATGAACTCGTAAGATATTTTTAATCACTAAAATTATAGGAAAGAAAAAATTCATGAATGAAGTCATCTATTGACAACATACCCTTGAACTATGTCTTAAAAGTAGAGTTATTTGATATATAAGAGATGAATTTTAAAATATTATTTCTACCCACAAAATTATTTTTTTGACCATAGATAACTGAAAAAAAAAATTGAGGAAAAGGGAGCTGATAATCGGTAACAAGCTCAAGGGAAACCTTAGTTTTTTTTAATTTTTTATTTATTTATGCACTTACATAGTTGCATTACTTTCCTTAACCTTTGAAGCGGTATTCAACATTTGAGGATGAGGTGCTCCCTCATAACTACATGTACCCCTCGTACAACCCAGCTAGAATTAATCACAACATGGTCAACGTCCTTCCACAGGACAGACCCATCATGCAGGCGACCTTGACCCACTCGCATGATCAACATCTTACCATAAGATGGATCCCCTTGCAGAGTAGTCAATCTACCATTGAGTAACACTTCCCTAACAGGCGTCTCGCCAAGCTCAACCGTACCACAACAGAGTAGGAAGGGAAGAGTAACACCTCTCTAACTGGCATCTCGCCTAGCTCAACGGTACTTGTAATAACCCAAAACTAAATAAAGAAATAAACCAATAATATTAATTATAAAAAAATGGTTAAAATAATAATAATAATAAATAAATAAACAAAAAAACAACATTTTCACTACTTCTCTCCACTAACCTCTCATCCCTCCCCATATTTATCTCTCCTCAACCCATCCTGCGAAAGTAACAAAAAAAAAAAACAGAAAAAGAATAATAGTCACGTATATATTAAATCTTCATTTTCTTTAATCCTATTTTTTTAGAAATCACAAGATCTTGTTGAATTATTACAATGGTTTAATTTTGAGTTAGAAACTAAATGTCTATCATTTATATGAATTCTAGCAAATAACATCGTTTATATGAATTCTAGTCAATCACATCATTTATATGAATTCTAGCAAATCACATCAGATTAGTAATATTAAATTAAATTTTTATTAGTAGCCATAGATTAAAAATAGAATGGCCAAGAAAATTTGTGAATCTTAAACACTAAGACAAGGAAAGATTTGGAAACAGAGATCCACTAGAAATTTAGAATAAGTTAGAACACAATTAAGAGTCAAACTGATAAAAGAAAAAAAAGAAGATTAAGGAATTAAAAACCACAAACTAAATATAGAGAAATAACTTAAATAGGTGTATCTACAACCATAACTATAGAAAATAAGATTTTTAATAAAAATATAATTATAGACATATAACATTTCAAGACTTTTAACAATGGACCCATGTAAATTAAAGAAATAATTTTGTAGATTTCAAACATGAAGCTAATGTCATGGGCTCACATAGGTTGACATGGATTTCAAAGGACTGAATCAAACTTTCATTAAAGATATATTTGTAACAACAACTTAAGCTAGCCAGGTAAGTGATCTTACTATCAGCATGGTTATATTTGATATTGACACGTGCCCCGTGGTTCTGCACGTGCCATATATATTGATATGTGTGAATTGTCTGTGGATCAATATGCTTCTTATATGTTATAATATGTGAACTGTATGATAATAGTTACGGTACGATGTGTTCAAGAATATGTTTGAGATAGGATACGAGATGGATGCACAAAACGAAATGTAACGATAGGAGTAAAATACGTTCATGTAGCGTTAAGGTTAGGTTACATACTGGAGTGATATGGATAAGAGAGATTGATGGAAGAATATGGTTAGGTTACGGGTAGAAAGGGATAGGTTTGTGATAGATTGATAGAACGATAATATTAGGATTGATAGAACGATAGCATTAGGTTATGTTCTTGTGATGA